TATGTAGTGGGACAGTTGAAATCTAATATTTAAGTAATTAAAATCTGGTAAGGTATTCAAACTTATATCCCCAAGAGTCATTCAGAAATCCGTTATATAATAAAAATAAATTTAGAATGAATCTGGTTTAAAGAGGTTCAATGTTCATAACTTCTCTTTGAAATAAATAATAACTAGTGAAGAAAGAGTCAGAATCTATAAATCAAAAAGCTGAAAACAAAGTGATTGGCATCAGATCTGTTGGACAGATATTAGTAGCATTTTCATTAAAACTTAAGGAACCACATAACAAAATGAAGTGTTGACCCACTCATATTTGCCTAAAATCGATAAATAAAGTGGTAGTCGTTGGTTCCAGAAAGACCCTCCTACTACTACTACCAAAAAAAAAAAAAAAAAAAAAAAAACCTTTCAAAAAATCTAAATGAAACATTATGTGGTTTAAAAACAAAGAAAGAAACAAACCAAAAAAATGCATTTTGACTGAGCAGGAATGTGTAGAGCAGCTTTATTCATAAATGCCAAACCTGGGTGATGGCTAAGATGTCCTTCAATAAGTGAATTAATTAACTGTGGCACGTCCTGACAATGGAATATTATTCAGTGCTGAAAATAAATGAAGTAACAAGGCATGAAACACAGGCAAGGAAGGAAGGAAGGAAGGAAGGAAGTCCATGCCAAAGCAAATACTGTATGGTTTCACCTATATAAGCTCTGGAAAAGGCAAGGTACAGAGAGAATGAAATGATGAATGCCTGCCCAGGTGCAGGGTGGAGGAGTTGTGAGGGGTATGGGGGTAGTCAGTGACAGGGGGCAGGGCAAAAAGGAAAAATAGGGAAGCTCTGAGAATATTTTGGGGGCAGTGAAACTATTCTTTATATTATTAAAGTGTTGGATTGTCATTATACAAGTCAAAACTCATAGTTTGGACAATACCAAGCATGAACTCAAATGAGTTTTTATAAACATGAGTTTTTGTAAATAATGTATCAATGTTGATTCATTATTTTGGTAATAAATTTCTATCTCTGGAGGGAGTATTATCCCTGCCCGGGGCAAGTGGATATATGGTTTTGCTTGATAATTTCCACTCAATTTTTCTGTAAACCTAAAACTAATAAAGTTTATTAGTTTAACCAAAAAAACTAGTTGCACTAGTTAGTATTAAATTAATAAACTAATTAGCATATTAGTTTACCACAATAAAAATGCATATTGTGGTAAATACATAAAGCAGATCATTTTGTAAGTATAATGAGGAAAGAGATATCTGAGAAATAATTTCTGGAGAAAAGCAAAAGATGATGATTATTTTTTGTGCATGTTTAATAGGATTTAAACTAAAGTCTCCTAAGTTAAATGACAAATACTACAACACAAAAGACAATAGATAAGATGATATAATGTAAAGGAAGATAATTAAAATATGGAATTAATTTTAGAATATATAAATGCCATGGAAGTCACAAATATTCTGGAAAAGCATAAAATATAATAAGGAAGATAAAATCAAGTAAAATCACTGCTGCTCTAGGAGAGTGGAATTGAATATCAGAAGTTACTCATACCAAAACACAATTATTTATACTGTGAAGCTATCCACAGCCATTGCAGCATGAGTTTGATCCCTGGCCAGGGAGGTGACCCACATGGCACAGCAGACCTCTCCTGTCTCCTCTGCTGCTCCCCTCAGCAGTGTATTTCAGTCAACATGCCTGTTCTGTTCCCCACTCTGTCTCTGGTGAATCCTCTTAACCATCCACAGCTCTGGCCTACACCCCAGTTCTTGTATGCATATATAAATCTTAAAAAAAAACACAGATATTACTCAATGTAAATATAATTTTTTTTAAAAAATCACAAAACCATGTTCAGTCTTGAGGTTGAAAAGGAATGTGTTGAAAATGACCAGTTTTTTTGTTCAAATGTTTTTATTTCACATTTTATGACAGAAAGAAATATTTGTTTTTCATTAACACATGCTAAATTTATTAAGGAAAAGTAAAATAAAATGAGAGAGAGAGATGCCTGCATACACACAGACAGGTGGAGAGCTGCTGGGAAAAGATGTCTTTCACTTAAATATGGGGTCATAACATAAAGTCACACGTAATTTTCATGAAAAAAATGTATTAGCGAGTCTTCAAACATAGCATCTCCGCTATTTATATAACATCTCTATTTGTAAATGTTAATTTTTCACATCAAGAATGTTCCTTTATGAATGTCATAGTCATGTATTAATAACAAAATGAGGGATGTCTGAAATCCCCCAAATTTAGCATTTATCTCCATGTAACTGTATGGATAAAAGGAAACTCAATAGAATCTCAGTCCCAGTAATGTGTTTCTTTTTTTTTTTTTTTAAATATTAAATTTTATTTTTATATTCCCCCATACAATTGCAAACGCCCCATTCTGACCCCAATCCTTCCCCTCCCGCCCCCCACCCCCCAATGTGTTTCTTTTTTATAAGAATTATTTTTTAGAGCAGGGACCCCCAAATCATGGCAGTCACATGCACTGCTCTGCCTTTGCTAGTCAAGCCCCCATCTACCTGTTTCCCAAAGTATAGCTTGGTCTTCTCTAATTATTTATGTCTTGCTTGTGAGCACAGTCTCACAGTCTCAGTGTTCCACAAGTTTCTGACACACAGTAGGGGTTCAGTAAATTATTATTGAATTAATAGAGCAATAAGCTAAGCCATGTTGCATAGATCAGGTGTGTGTACACTCTTGACAATCCCGACTTTGGTTATGTCTTCCTTTATTAAGGATGCTCCTGTTTCAGTTCATGTCTGTTCACCCTGCTGATTTCTTTCCCTCTATTGGGGAGCAATTTTATGTCTTTCAGCTAGGGAGTCTTTTTTTTTTTTTTTTTTTTTTTTTTTTTTAATAGAGGCATGCTTTATTTATTTATTTATTCATTTGTTTGTTTGTTTGTCTATACATGCACTGGGCACAGTCAGAAGCGCGGGAGGGTGAGAGAATTCACCAGAGCCAGAGCGGGGAGCAGAGCAGGCAGAAGGACCGAAGCACACTGCTGAGGGGAGCAGCGGGCGGCAGGAGAGGTCTGCGCGCCATGTGGGACACTCCTCCGGTGGCCGGGAGCAGCTGGGGATCGAACCGGCGCTGCAGAGGCTGCTGGCAGCTTCGCAACCCAGCGCTCAACCGCTGCGCCACCGGGAGGCCCTAGGGAGTCTTTTTTTAATTTAATTTTTGGACAATATATATAGCTCTTCCACCACAAAGTACCCCTAGTCCATCACCATATTACCTTGTGCTCCCCCCCTTCAGATACTCCCCTCCCCAATCTTTCCTTATCTCTCCTGTCCTGGTTCATCTTTCAAAGTTTGTCTTTGTCTGAGTCTTCATTGCCCTTCAGTTCTTTGTTATTTGTCCCTCAGTGTTGCTTTTCTACCTCTTTGTGTTCGACAACCTTACATTTATAACAATTTTTTGTTATTTACTGATGTCTCTGGGAAATTTCAATTTATCCTAAGCTCAGTGAAGTGAGGACCTGGTTATATTTATTCACCTCTGAAGTGCAACTTTCAAGATGTCTGATAACTTAATAAGGATTAAAGTTTCTTTTTGATTAATGATGATGGACAGAGGCATGAATGAAAATTATATCTCTAGAAACTACATTATATGTAGATTGTGATATACATTCTAAAAAAGATTTCACACTAAAATGTTAGAAATGAAAATGATTAATAGAGAAATATAACACAGGGAGTCTACATTCATAAGATCTTAACACTTTGCTGAGAGCACAGAATATTAAGGTTGATGTTTACTCATTCACTGAGATTCTCCATTTCAATTTCCTTTTCACTCTTCAATTTAAGAGGAAACAAACCATAGTTTCCCTAGTAGATCTAATTATAAATTTCCTCAGAGTGAATCAGATAAGGGAGGAAAAAATTTCCTCTCTTCATTGCTATTTATTTGTTAAAGTTTTACTGAGTTATTTCATCTTCTTTTATCCTTTTATTCATTCACTCAGTAATGTCATAAACCAGGCATTATGCTGCCTCATATAAACAACTATTAGCTAGCATGCAAGTATGCTATAAGTATGGGGTAACTATTGAATAAATTGAAGTTCCTATCTGATATTTAAATTTTTTATTAATTTGAGTTATCACATGTTCTAATGGGTTAACACTTGAAGATGGTGACATGTGTACAAAAATTTTGGAAATGTAATGTAACCTTGTTAGTTACCATCAAAAGCTTCATGACCCATTGATTTTATATCCTTAACACAGTGTGATAGCAAAGTGTTACAAGCAACATATTACCATTAGTTAAGATACATAACAAATTTACTAAAAGAAAATTTCTTATATTTTAGTTATAATGAACTAACATTTAGGCACATATACAAAGACACATATTATGCTTGTACATACATAGATATACACATAAATATCTGTGTGTAATGTGTGCATGTATATGTATGTATGTATGCATATATATATATAGATATATATATATATATATATATATATAATGCCCAACAGAGCCCTGTTCAATAAATAGCAATGTCATCATTTTTTTACCTTTCAGTCATCATTGTGTAACTGTGCCAGCTGTTAAGAGCATGGATGAGAAAGTTATCCTCCAGTTATCTGTCATTAATATACTTGTTTTGTTGACTACCCATTTCTGTCAGGTTCCTCATTCATAAAATATGGATAATTATGGTGCTTACCTCTTTGGATTGTTACAGTGATTACTCTTTAAAACCAACATATTTTATTATTTTTCATATTTACACTTGGTAGAGAAGCTTATGAATAAAACACATAGATAAAGATGGTAAAAGTAAGCCCTAATTTTGTTAGGATATTCTGAATGTGCAAATGGTTTAAGTTTTGTCATTTCCTTATACCTGTTTCTACTCCATAACATGTAAAATCTATCATGAGAGCAGTTAATGTTTTTGATTCATCATGTAAATGCTTTTCTTTTAAATTAATATGGCAGATTTAGCAAACACTGGAGTATATGTGTGTGTGTATATATATATCTCCTCCCCTACAAATTTTTGATGAGGTCATCCAGAATGTCCTCTAATCCCTTCCTCAGTTGAATCAACTTCAATCTCCAGGCACATTTATTTGTCATCTGGAAATGTTTTCCTACTACACAATTTTCTAATGGCATTTTTCATCTGGGCATTTCGCAAGGTATAGATTAAGGGATTTAACATGGGAGTTATCATAGAGTAGAACACAGCAACTGCTTTATCAATGGGTAATGCCACTGCCGGTCTCAGGTACACAATTATGCAGGGCACAAAGAACATGATGACTACTGTGATGTGGGAGACACAGGTGGAGAGGGCTTTCTGCCTTGCCTCTGCACTCTGGCTTTTTAGGGAGTGCAAAATAACGACATAGGAGACTATCAAGAGGAGAAAGTTCAACAGACAGATGAACCCACTGTTGGCAGCAACAAAGAGTCCTAGGGCATGGGTATCCGTGCAGGCCAGATTGAGCAAAGGATTCAGATCACACATAAAGTGATCTATGACATTGGGGCCACAGAAGGGCAGACGGAAGATGAAGAGGATCTGTATGGCTCCATGAAGAAAGCCTCCCACCCACACTACTCCCATTAGCACGTCACACACCTGTTGTTTCATGATGGTTGCATAGTGTAAGGGCTTGCAGATGGCCACATAGCGGTCGTAGGCCATCACAGTGAGCAGGATGACCTCAGAGCCGCCTAAGAAATGATCCGCAAAGACTTGGGTCAGGCATCCGTTGAACGGGATTGTCTTGTTTTCAAAGAGTGAATCTATAATAAGTTTAGGAGTACTGACAGAAGTATAGCAGGCATCAATAAAGGAGAGATAGGCCAGGAAAAAATACATGGGGGATGCTGACAATGAGCTGGCAATGATGGTGACCACAATGAGCAAATTTCCTACCACAGAGGTGATGTAGATGAGGAAAAACACAACAAATACAATTTTCTGCATCTTTGGATCCTCTGAGAGCCCAAGTAGAACAAATTCTGTGACATTGTTTCTAGTCTCCATATATATTTGAATACTTATTACATTACCTGAAAAAGAAATTATGTGTTAGTATTGCAATGCTGAATCTGTTAAACTTATTCATTCTAATAAATGTTAAATGCCTGGATCCCATTGGATTTTGACTTTTATGATGTTTTGGATTCTGGGGTTTTTTAACTAAAAAAATAGTTCTAGTTTTTGAAGAAGACTCAAATTGCCTCCCAAGTGAAATATTTGATAAAAGTATATGCATGAGGAACATTTGTTATCAAATAAGTAAGATGCAATGTGTACCTGTGATTATCTGAGATAACAGCCTGGCATGAAAGAGTGGATTGTATACACAGTGGCAGGTTAGTCAGGAAAGGGATATTATATCATTGTAATATATATATATATATATATATATATATATATAATATCAATGATACTATATCATTGTAAAGTTAATAAACTTTTCTTTATTCCTAGGAAATAGTAAACCATGGTTTAGAAATTGAGAATACGTGTGGAAACATGAAGAGAAATTTAAAGAAGGGAAACCATGGATATAACTTCACTAAAGGTCTCTGCATAATTCTGAGTGAAGTGGGCTCAAATTTAGGAAGGCAGAGATAGAAATTCCAGTTAGGAGGTTATTTATAATAGTTGATATAAGGAAAATAGGACTTTGGTAATGTAAATAAGATGAAGTATATAGGAGCATCTGTAAAAGAACTGAAATGTATTTGACTCAATCCAATAATTTCATATATATATATATATATATATATATATATATATATAGTTAAATGATTGATTGTTATGTGAAAGATCAAGTGTCTCTCACGTATGATTCTGTACAAGACTGATAGAAATCACTGTGGCTGGTATCACTTATCCATTTTGCAGATGTGAAAATAGTCTTAGATTTGTGTTGACAATAATATTAAGAATTACATTACTTAAACCATAAAGAGTGTATTCCAAGTGTCCCAAGAGCAAGCAGAACCAAGATTAGGTCAGAAAATACTTTTTAAACTTTCTTTCCTCAAAATTCTTCCGCATGCCCCAAATTGCTATAATTAACAATATTGAACTATAAATGGCCTTCTTACATGAACCATAATAATTATAATTACTTTATTACTACCTCAGACACAAATGCAGATGAGCTAATTTCAGAGTAAAAAAAAATACCCAAAAAAGCAAAGACATACACACAGGCACATTTGAACAGCCAAAAATCAAGTCAAATGTGGGATGGCATTCATTGAAAGTTCCTTTTATCTTGGCTTCTCCCTCTGACCCAGGTCTCACTACTCCAATCCCCCTCCAAACCATTGGTTCTTATCTCTTCCGCAATAGGAAATGATTATTTTTGAAAATGACAATTTTGAAAATGACTATCACAGTGGTCAAGTGCTTTGGTTTGAAAAGAAAAAAGACCAATTTAAAACTTTATTTTTCTGTCTGTATGTTCTTTTTATATGGGGGGACATTTAATAACATATAACATATTTTTGCCCCTCATCTATAAAGCAACATTAATACCTACCTCACAGGATTTTATATTAATAAGGAAACATATATGAATATATCCATGGCTATGTAAACACATATGGATTTTCATCTGTATTTTTTTGTGTGCAGGTACACCTAGGAGAGAGAAAAAAATTACATTTTGAGTAATAATAGTCAGAAAATGTTAACAAATCAGTAAGGTCAGAAAGAAACATCTTCAATATAATTGTGCACTTTCTATGTGGGAAATGTATTTAAATTTCATTTTTGATGAGTTTTGATTACTATAGGGGGTATCTCAGGGTGTCTCATGTCAAGGAACTGGAACCTACAATTTACTTAATCTCCATGGCCAAGTTTTCATCTGTCAAATTGTAATAGTTCCAACTATCTTTTGAATAATTGGGGTGGGGATGAAATGTTTTATCACGCACTTAAAGCACAATAAAACATAATTACTACATGGAAATTAACAATGTTTAATAAAAATCAGCACTATTAAAAAATCTTACCTTCTAGTCTTAAAGAACTTAATGCTGTTTGGGAATGTTCACAAATAATCCCAACTTTAAACTGACCTTTGGCTAGTAGATCCAACATGAAAGAAATATCACACTTGGAATGAGAGTATTTTGATAATTCAAAATCAAATCAATAGTTGTTATGAAGGCTGTCTATAATCACAACTTCCCTTCTAGATTAAATCCTCAGAACATTTCCTAAAAAAAGTAGCATTTGAATTTAGAAGGGATTTGTTGGAAGCACTGGAGAACTGCTGCAGGTGGCTCTGGTCCCACAGTCAAGGAGCAGAAAATGTGCAGCAAACACATTCACATGTGTCATTTAGCTCAGGAGGAATCTTGCTCTTCAAAACGTGATCAGCCAAAGTAAATTCCAGCTTGCACTGCATGGGTATTTAAAGAGATTCCCTTTGAAACTCTTAAAGGGAGATGCTTCTTCTTCTCTCAGGAATTAATTATCTCCTTTGATGGAAAGACTTTGACTTAGAAGCAGGTATTCTGGAGAGACAAGTTTGAGAAACACCCATTTTTGAGTGGGGAATTGTATTCCCTACACTTGAAACCTGAACACATGGAGCCTCATTTCTCTCTGTGAACACAAGTTTCTAAGACATCTGAGTGTCATGTGACTAGCAAGGTGACATAATTTCAAGTGGGGACATCTGATGTAGCCCCCATGTGTATTCACATGGGTTTTCTTATCAATGTTAAGCCTTTTCTAGTAACCCACTAACAATTGCTTAAGAGCTAGAGCTATGAGACTAAACTTAATGGCAGCCACTTTAAAGTACTTTACTGCGAAATGCTGTTTTGCACATTCATCTGAGGAGTGCAGAAGTCAACAAAAATGTGCGTCCCTTTTAGTTATCTGTAGGACTCACAGTCTGGTTAGTGTGAAATTCTAGGCACCATTACAAATGTAGAGAGTAATCTACAACACAAGAAGAGAGTCCAGGCTTTCCACAACTTTGTCAATTTGTATCACTGATGTTTTTCTTTCCCCAAATCATGTTTACTGAGGGAAAGTGGGTTTACATACTTCATCTGTTTCAGGGTTTATAGGTTGAAACCTCTACAAATGTAAATTTTCATGCCTCGCCCACCACCAGTGTACCTGCAAGTCTCCACCATGTCTTATAGGCCCCTTCATCGCACCCCCATGTCAATTGCCACAGTTTTGTAATCATATGTTAAGAGTTTATTATTGATTTGGTCTTGACTGATCTTTTTTATATTTTCTCTATATCTCTCAAATAAGTGAGATCCTTTGCAGTGTGCAAGTTTGGGTTTCCCTAGGGTGTGCCTTAGTTTTATATTAACAAAATAATCCCAATTATTCTCTATCTGTATCTGTTACCCTATGTCTCTATATTTGTGGCTCTGTAGTTTTCCATATGAGAGATTGAATGGCTGGATTTGGAATTCATGAGTCCTAGAAATTCCCCTTCAAATCACAGAGACAGAGCTTAGTTTCTTCTTGTTACAGAGAAGTACTCAAAAGCCTGCTTTTTATTATTAAAACTTTCTAGATAGCCTAATTTCTATCTATATTCTTATGGTAGTTTCTTAAGTTTAGTCACTATATTTGATGTGATTGTGTCATTTAGTGTTGCTAAAACTATTACAAATTGTGCTGTGCCATTTATTGCTTTCCTTACTTTCATTTATTCTTTTTCCTACCTCATCCCATATTTTCTTGAATGCTTACCTAATAATATTACAAGCTACATTAGATTCCTGCTATCTGCAGAAAGCTGGAAGGGTACGGAACAAAGTTTCCTAAACTATGCTTGATTATAGACTTTCTGGGCCTCCAGGGAAATAGTGCCTGAGACAAGTAATGCAAAAGTGGAAAATAAATACTCAAGAGGACCAAGCACTTCAACTTGGACAGTGGTTTAACCACATTGGTCTGGGTCTGTGTATAAACACTTTGGGAATACAGTTACTCAGGCTTGTTCATTATCACTGAAATTTATATTCTGTTCTGAACAAAATTTTCTTCAGGTGTAGGATAAAATAGATATTGCTGGGACCTCAATAGTTCTGCAGATTTTTAAATATGCATTTCACTTATCTTTTTAGTGTAAGCTTGTATTTTGGTGTCAAGTATGCATTCAAAATTCATAGCCTGCTTTCCTGGGGCAATTTACATCACATCTCTGATAGTTTTAGTGAACTTTTGAAGTCCATTTCTCTGGAAAACCTTTAGAAGGATAAGTGATATTTCTGAAACTTTTTCTAAGAACACATTTGGATAGGTTTGAATTTCTACTTTGTAATTTGCTGCATTTTGCTTCTTTGCGACACTGAAGGCAATGGGCAGAATGAGCATCTGAGGATGGAGGGTTCCCTGGTGAAGCCACAGAGTCCCTGACAGTCAGTCAGATCTGATGACCAGAGATTCTGCCACAACACCTTGGTTTGGGAAGGGTCACCCAGCCACAGACAAATGGCATGCTTCTTGTTCTTGCGTATGATTTCATTCTGAAGACTATTACTTTTCCTGTAGCATAGATAATTTGGTTGACATAAAAATGTATTGGCATACTTTATTTTATTGTGAATTATTTACAAGGAGTTTCCACTTAAGAAAAGGAGAGTTAAGTAAAGATTTTTTCAAGTTGGCAGGGACTTTGTGCCTCAAATTCATCCTTGCATACATTCCTCCATACTACTTTTAAGAAATAGATGGATTTTTGCTCCAACAACTAACACCTATGAAGACTTCCGGATATTCCAAAACACCTTATATACTAAAATAGCCTAGTTTCATCTGAGTCATCTAAGGTAAGTTCACAACATGGTCCATTCTCACAGACTAGGAGAATGCTGGGATATATGGTTGAAATTTCTATACTTATTTGGACAACATTACCCAAATGCATGCATAATTTTTACCCAAAAGTAACAAATGAATGTATGAATTGACTATTTTATTTTAGTAGTGCAAAAGGATCAGGCAAGTGATGACTATGAAAAAAGACTTCAAATGCTAAGCTATCATCA